CACATGAGTTCGCTTTCGAAGACATGATAGAACGACTACACACCGCAAATCGTAAACATCTCTAAACCCGGCAAACCTGTAAACCCGCGTAAACCCGTAAACACGCGTAAACCCGCGTAAACCCGCGTAAACCCGTAAAAGGGCGTAAACCCGCGTAAACCCGTAAACCCGCGTCATCAAAATCAGACACATTTCCCGCTGCGCTGAAACCCTTCATCCGTGGCAAGTCCAGAATGTCTTCCTCCTTTGCTCCAACTGGGACAAGGTGGTGATAGAGTCATCACCAAGTTGGACTTGTGGGATGTGGCTCTGAGCAAGGTGACCTCACCGATGTCAGCACGGATGCCTGTAAAAACTTCCTGGGGATTGAAATCAATCTCAATGGGAACTTTTTGAACACCTCGTCCATGATTGAAACTCCATGTCCGCATAACTTCAGAGCACCAATCCACAGATGTGTGGGTAGCAAATGAGTACCCCAGGTTCGTTTGTTGTAGCCACCACATGGCTCTCAACCATCCTTCGTAGGCGCCAGCAAAGAAGTGGCTGGCATTCCAAGCCAGGTGCTTATCATGCTGCGGCAAATTCCAGAGAGGCACAGATGCATCTGCCCACACTTGACCAGCTTGAGGCCTGTGGCATGGCTTGACATAGACCCCAATCCACATACCAACTGACAGATCTACCCGGCAGTGCTGCACAGGGCACAGGAGATCAAAGCAAGTCCACTCGTTCTGAGCCACCTCATCCGACAAAAGCAGAGAAGTACGACGGACATGAAACCGTAGAGGATCATGCCCAACATGCTCAAGCACTTCCCCGAAAAGTACCCAGTCTTCATCAGCACCTTTGCAGTCACCTGTAGTGGCAATAGCACGAAGCGCAGCTCGGACGGATGAGCCTAGTGTATCGGCCATGCCCATAGTTGCCCAATCAATGAACCCATCTTTCGACAACGATCCTTCATCTCTCTTCATATCCAGCAAATCCACGCAATCCAGAGGCAGGTGAGCGTCTGATCTTTGGACGTGCAACCCTGACTTCAGAAGTCAGTGGCCACACCCCGGCCCTTGCGAGGGGGCGTGAGGCGCGTGGCTGTGAGCCAAAATGCCTGGGGGGAGCTTCCTTGAAGAAGCGCTCGCACTAATGATTTGGTTCCTAGCTTTTAGGGAAACTTCAGCAAAACCAGCTAAAGCATACCTTGATTGAGGGTGCACTGAATGTCCCATGTGGCTTCGGGTGAGTTTGTCTGAGGCAGAGGCGCAGCAACAGGAGATTGAGAGAAGAAGACAGGAGCTGCAGGTTTTGGAGGTCCGGAAACTAAAGTCGGGATTGTTGCGGCAACCTTTGCATTTTAAGCCTGCGTGCCAATGTCGCTGCAATGCACACATGTCACATGTCACATAGGGTTTTGCTTGAGACATGGTACAACCAGAAGATGAGGCTTTCGACAGGCTGTGCATTTGGATGGAGGGGACATGACTTTCACAAACTGGCAGGCGGAGAGAGAGGACATTCGGGCACGAAAGATGGAGGAGGTCCGACTGTGTGAAGACGAGCCAAATGGAACTCTATATATAAAAAGAAAGTGCAATAATAAGAAGGTAAGGGCACCTGAAATGATAAAGGAGCCTCATTAAAGATGGCTCTTACATGATCTTACCATCCTTTGCCTTCTTGTTTTCTTTTCTTTGTGCAATATTTATTTAAGAACCCCATGCCACACCTCCCTTTTTTGCGGGAGCGCGGATAGTCTTGGATGCTTAGTCCCTTTGAAGCAATGCTCCACAAAAGAACGGCTCGCACAAGGAACGACGCTTCACCTCAGAGCTCCAGAAGTGGGCGGAACAGCAACAAGAGGCCAGTTTTGAATGCTTCTAGTAAGATTCTAGTAGCTTCTTGCTCCTAGTAGCGATGCGCCTAGTAGCGTCCTTGCTCCTAGTAGTAAGGCCAGGGGCCCCTAATAGCGCTGCAAGAGGCCAGTTTTGAATGTCTTTGGAAACGCTCCGGGGCTTGGTGCCATACGGTTTGATATGTGAACGTGATTTTTTGTACAGGAGCTCAGAAAGCATAGAGAGGAGCTACATGCGTTGGAGGCAGCGTCTAGCATGTTGTGAGACCTTATTTGTAGCCAATGGCCACGGCGGCCCTTCAGCAATTTCGGTGACGCGCTTATCGCGTTTGAATTACTTGTACCTTCGAGATGGTGTTCGGCACCCCTGACTGAAGACTGGTAGCTGTGTGTAGGACTTCTGTATGAACAATCCACCTGCCTGCAGAGCCAATGCATGGGCTCCAACCTAATAGCGCTGGCCTACAACCTAATAGCAGGCTTTTAAAAGGCACGAGATGTTGAACAATGTGGAAAATTGTCATACAGGGGTTGAAGCAAAGGAGCTTTTTCATGGCCACACGCAGCCCGATTTCGGGCAGGCTGAGCGGGAGGAGATGTTGAAAAAGAAGTTGGAAGAACAGCAGAAATTGCGAGAGGTGTCCTGCCCTGGTACTTGTGACCTTGAACCAGAGCTGAGAAAAGAAGAACTTGTGTGTCGATGTACAAATGTCTGGATGCCTAGAGTCTACCAGTAACATATCAAACCGGTGCTGGGGCCACTAGGGTTGCATCCCTTCCCGACCCAGCTTGGCAGTGGGGCAGTGGAAGGCTGACGTTTGTCGGTGTATCCGATGTCGTTGTGATATGTATTGATTGCCAAAATGATTGGAGCAACAAGAAAGCAACTGTTTTGTATCCTGTATCCTGATTATGCGCAATGCGAAAGAGGTTTTTCAGCGGTTTTCATGGAACAGCGACGGCGGACTTGAGGCGCAGGACCAAGAGGCTGCTGAAGCACAGCGGGTGCGAGAGCTCCGCAGCAAGGAGGCCTTAGAGCAAGAGGCGGAGATCCAACGTAAGCGATCCTTGGACAACATGGCCGGATTTCAACCCAGGGAGCCAGGTAGCCATACTCAGTAAATGGTCATTGCGTGAAATGGTCATTGCATGAGATAGTCCGCAGACCGAATTGCTGATGCAC